TGAGGATATCAGATATTTTTCATCTGCTATCATACAAAACGTAAATTTCGTATGTTTTTTGTTTGTTTGTTGTTGTTGAGATTTTGATTTGATTCGATTCAAGACACGACATTTCAGAACTCGGGTCATTTCCATAAGTTCTCCGTCTCCATCTCTCTGAGAATAAATATCTACCTTACAAAATTGCAATACCGATGCAATATGAGCATTGTGATTGACTTCCGCACCGTTACGCACCGAAGTTGTCTACTGGCTGGACAACACGCTGACGTCTTGTCTTGACACTGGAAATTGAACACAACTTCAGGCCGGACCACGGCTTTGGAGCCGGGGCAGTTCCTCTGCAGCTCTTCAACAATCAACTGGCCGTATCATTTTTATCTCCAAGCCAAGAATACTTCACGGCAACACTTTCTCCATGATCTCTGTTAAACGTCATCCATTTCTCATCGGCAAATTTGCAACTTGAAAAGTAAACTGGTATCTCTCGCTGTCAATGTGTTATAAATTGGAGGGATTTATTTCTCAACTGTATTTAAGCGGCGTCTGTGATAGAGTTTAGTATCACTGTTGCCGTCAGTCAGTGCACATAAAGATGGCTGCTCAGACACCCTCGCCACCCTTATTTCGACCACAACCCACCCCAGCACCAAGGACATTAAAAAAATCTCAAAGGGTCGAATTCGCCCAGAAAATTGCGAAAGTCGTTGCTGACGAATCGGGGAAAAACCCTCAGCAACTACCACCTCCACCTCCACCTCCACCGCCTCTACCAGGGGCTACGCCAGCTATGAGAGGTCCAAAGAAGTGGGCTACTGTTGATGTGAATGAACCACAAAGACAAGTGGAGAAACGCATGGGCACCCAACTTCCGGTGGTAATTTTCCCACAAAACCCAGAAGAGCGAGGCAGACATCAAGTGTTCCGTTACTTGAAGCCCCCGACTCCCAGCCCAGAAGAAGCTGCAGTGGATCAGGATCTACAACCTTTACCGAAACCAGCATCTCGCAGATCCCACCAAGTACAAGTGGCTCCCCTGCAGCGTTTCCCATCACCCAAACGCCGTTCCTCGACTCAGGCTCACCCCCTAGGGTTGCCATCACCGCCCGGACAGTCTCCAGATTACTCACCAGGGTTGCCATCACCGCCCCAAGATTCTCCACAATACTCGCCATGGTTGCCTTCACCGCCCCCACAGTCTCCAGCCTACTCCCCAGGATTGCCATCATACCCTTCAGAAACAGAAACCTACCCACCACCGCCCCAAACCTTTTCACGCCCTCCATCGGTACTTTACACTCCACCATCTAAAGCCCACTTCCCCACTCCCTCCGCAGCGTATTCCCCAGAGTTGCCAGCCTATTCCATCCCGTCGGCAGGTCTAGACAGGCCGCCTTCAACCCAGCACGATCGTGCATCTCGAAAGCTTCGCGAAGGCTCAGAAGAACAGGCATTTTCACAGGAGCCTCCAGAAGAAGAGCCAATTTACGCAGTTCTCCTGGAGACAGTACCTCCTGAAGAAATGCCTACAACAAAATATAGACCAGGAGCGCGGTTGCCACTCAAAGAGAAACTCGGCCCTCACGGACCATTACCACCACTTCCAAGAACGAGAGAGCAGGAGTCTTTTTTCCAGCCCTTGGATTATTTCGTGGAGTCTGAGAACGTGTTTGAACTCACCGAGGACAGCTTTGACAAAGTCATACCCTGGAAGAAGTTAGCTATTGTCATGTTTTATGATCCAATGGATAAAAAAAGTGACGTGTCCAAGAAATATTTCAAAAAGGTAAGAAATAGAGAAGGGAGACAACATACGGAACGCTGGGTTTGAAATTACTTCCGAAGACTTGATGCTGGCATTTGGGATTTTGACACCTCCCCCTTGAAGTATTAATACAGTTTTAGGTTGCAACTAAACTGTTTTAAGGTCCGAAAGAAAAATACCATAAAATATACATGTCCGCTTTCAGGATCAGAAAGCTCCTTTGAACATGGAGCTAACTGTCACATTCGTCTAGTCCTATCTTCTGTCGACCTCAGACAGCGGAGTATCTGTCGATACATTTAAAAAAATGCTGCCAGGAAGCATTCATGGGTACTTTATTTTTAACCCCCACCATCTTCCTTGGACATGCAAATCCAGGAGTTTCCTGGAAAGTCCACTATTATTGAAACTTTATAACATTACTTTGTTTTCATAATGTTGTGTCTGAATATTGATATAGTGACTATGTGACATAACATGCACCATTAAGATAAACTTCATACGAACGCTACGTATAACCGTCGGGAAATGAGAATTAGAACATGTGTGTGGGCTGCGTAAAGATTCATGAGTAGATTTGGATACGTCGAATACAGCAACCAACCGCTGATGGGCGCCGAGTATAGTTACCCTGGCCAGAGTAGAACAGTATCAGCAGGAATGGATGCCAGCACGTCGAGACAAGCACATCATTAAAAGTGCGTCTAGGCCATACAAACTCGCGCATGTAGAACTAACGCAAAGACGTGCCAGTGAGCTCCATTCTGCCTCCTATGTCTATGCTTTGCAGTTCTCCACGTACCCCCGATACACTAAGTCTGTACACGTGAGGTGGGGTCGACAAAAATTGTAGGAGTAGTTTCCTGAGAGATGCGTTAGTGCAGGAATATTGTCAGTTCCGTTGGACGGACACCAGAGGTCGGGTACTACTGCTGTGCCAGACCGCAAGTGTTTACTTCTTAGCTGCAGAAGTGTGGCTCTTGTTCTGTCTGTTGCTTTAAGTTGTGATGTACTTAAATATTGTTCACATATGAGTCTAACTGTGTGTACTAACAAAAGCACAATTTTGAGAAAAGCGGAAGGAGAGGTGCATTAACATAGATTTAAAAAACAAAACCTCAGAGCAGACAAGGAGAAGGCATGCAAAGACACATGAAGCCAAGTGATGAAATCTCATCATCATCATGTATCAGGTCCTTTGCACAACGTCACTCTCACCACATTCTGCCTGAAAGAAACTCGGTCACGCACTTTTGTACTCAAAGAGCCACTTATATATTGTGCCCATCTTCACGTCGGTCGGCCCCTGCCCCTCCTTTCTGGTACCGTGCCTTCTGCTATAATTGTTTTCCAATCCGTCTTGGCGCTTGATATGACCAAAACATTTTAGCTTCCGAGAAAGTATGCATTTTATTAGCCAATCTTCCTTGATGTTCAGATCTTACAATATGTCAGTATTTTTTCTTTTCCTTCTCCAAGATATTCTGAGAATCTTTTTATAGCATTTCAGCTCAAAAGTCCCTATTCTCTTTCTTGACTGAGAGATAGTCCACGACTCACATTCGTATGTAGCCACAGGAAAGATGCATGTTCTCAAAATTCTAATCCTAAGAAATCTGCAAACCGTTATTAGAGTAGGCAGTTTTTTTCTGGACTGTATATTTGAATATATTTCTCACCGATTATTTTATTTTATTTATTAGACACAGACTTTCACATCAAAGAAAGATTTGTTAGTAAGTCCTACCAATATGAATGTCGCAATCAATAAATAGATCAAGAAGAAGCAATAAGAGAAAAAAAAGAAGAAGAAGAAGAAGAAGAAGAAGAAGAAGAAGAAGAAGAAGAAGAAGAAGAAGAAGAAGAAGAAGAAGAAGAAGAAGAAGAAGAAGAAGAAGAAGAAGAAGAAGAAGAAGAAGAAGAAGAAGAAGAAGAAGAAGAAGAAGAAGAAGAAGAAGAAGAAGAAGAAGAAGAAAAAGAAAAAGAAAAAGAAAAAGAAAAAGAAAAAGAAAAAGAAAAAGAAAAGAAGAAGAAGAAGAAGAAGAAGAAGAAGAAGAAAAAAGAAGAAGAAGAAGAAGAAGAAGAAGAAGAAGAAGAAGAAGAACGAAGAAGAAGAAGAAGAAGAAGAAGAAGAAGAAGAAGAAGAAGAAGAAGAAGAAGAAGAAGAAGAGAAGAAGAAGAAGAAGAAGAAGAAGAAGAAAAGAAGAAGAAGAAGAAGAAGAAGAAGAAGAAGAAGAAGAAGAAAAAGAAAAGAAAAAGAAAAAAAAGAAAAGAAAAGAAGAAGAAGAAGAAGAAGAAGAAGAAGAAGAAGGAGAAGGAGAAGAAGAAGAAGAAGAAGAAGAAGAAGAAGAAGAAGAAGAAGAAGAAGAAGAAGAAGAAGAAGAAGAAGAAGAAGAAGAAGAAAATGAAGAAGAAGAAGAAGAAGAAGAAGACGAAGAAGAAGAAGAAGAAGAAGAAGAAGAAGAAAGAAGAAGAAGAAGAAGAAGAAGAAGAAGAAGAAAAGAAGAAGAGAAGAAGAAGAAGAAGAAAGAAGAAGAAAAAAGAAGAAGAAGAAGAAGAGAAGAAGAAGAAGAAGAAGAAGAAGAAGAAGAAGAAGAAGAAGAAGAAGAAGAAGAAGAAGAAGAAGAAGAAGAAAGAAGAAGAAAAAGAAAAGAAAAAGAAGAAGAAAAAAATAAGAAGAAGAAGTAGAAGAAGAAGTAGTAGAATAAGAAAAGAAGAAGAAGAAGAAGAAGAAGAAGAAGAAGAAGAAGAAGAAGAAGAAGAAGAAGAAGAAGAAGAAGAAGAAGAAGAAGAAGAAGAAGAAGAAGAAGAAGAAGAAGAAAAAGAAGAAGAAAATAAAGAGAAAGAAAAAGAAGAAGAAAAAGAGAAAGAAAAAGAAACAAGACCCCCCCCCCCATCTCTCCCCCCCCCCCCACACACACACACACACACACAAAAGATGAGAAAAAAGAAAAAGACTAGAAAAAAAAAAAAAACCTATGAGATTGAAGTTGATATGAAAAAAAAGAAAAAGGAAAAAGAAGAAAAAGAGGAAATAGTAGTAGCAGTAGTGGTAGCAGTAGAAGTACGTAGGATCATCATTTCTCTAAGATGTGATCGGCAGTACACAAGACAGAAAGGTGTCGGGATACAGGTACCCCACCATGTCATTGCCATCAATGTCTAGGTTTACGTAACATCAGTGTTCTATCATTGGAAGTCAAACGTTTTACCTGTTTCTTTGACTCCCATCCAGGCGGCAGAGTCTGAGACAGAACCCAGCCACCATTACGCAGCCGTGGACTGCATGCGAGATCGCTATTTCTGCGAGTCGCTGGACGTCACCAGTCTACCCACGTTCAGGATCTACGCAAACGGAGCTGTCCTAGGCACCATCAGAGATACAACCGGCTTCAACGATGTGGCAATGAAGAAGTACATTGAGACCCTGACCAGCATAAGAGAACCAGGCAGCAAATCCGCCAGCCAACTTCGCACAACTCAACGGGACTCGGGCCAGTCCAAATGCAAACTTTCTAAAATACTTGGCTTCAAGAAGTAACTGCCAGCAGAAGATCACTGCTACATTCGAGAGGTGGCCGGGACATGACGCATGAGAAGCACACAGCAGTAGGATCTTGACCGCTTGACGTTATGATGCGTGTGACTCGTCCATTAACAGAGAGCAACCGATCTCTGCTTCATTGTCCACACTACCACCTGAAAACTGCAGATGTTTAAGCCATCGGTCTAATGAAGTATTGAATTTAATACACCATCTCAAATGACTGGAAATAATGTTTTGTCTTGTCTATTGTGTTCAGCTCGTTGGTATCTGTTCATTGAAATCTTCCTCTTCTTTTCGCGTTCACCAGCTGTAAACTCTGGCACACACGCAAAAAACACGTTATGGTTGATCGTGTACCTGCAGACTTTACTCTTATTTTAGAACTTAAGTAAACTTGGTAATCTTAGTTTTAGCTTCATAGCAAACGGGTCACCCCATAGTTGCTCCTCTCCTGTGCCACCGAAAACACAAAAATGTTTATCATGGTCTACTGTAAACAGATTGAAAGACTGCTGTATCAACATATGCATACACGACATTGAGAGCATAGGGTAGAAATCCAGAAGTGCTAACACAAACAGTCCGACCTTAGAAATGCAGTTCATCACCGACGGTAGCAGAAGCCGCCAACAGATCAGCAGCTGCCCACGTGATCAATTCTTCTTCTTCTTCTTCTTCTTCGCGTTCACCAGCTGTACACTCTGGCGAAAAGTTCTGGTTGCTCGTCCACTACTGAACTGCAGTCCTGCTCCAGAACCTGAGTGTTGCGTGTGCATCAGTTTTACAGATCTCATTCTCTTGAATACAGACTGTTGGTTCCTTGCCTCTCCGGCAGATGCACTCCGACTTCAAAGGAAGCTCCCCAATTAGTCGACTCTTCCGACATGCTTTTGGGGAGGCAGTGGGTCTATTCTTGTTCTCCCCACAATGGGGCCCCGGAACCCACACGGGGGACTATCAATTGTAATCACTTAAGTGTTACGTGCAGCACATCGGTTATACAAATAATGCCTATTTGTAGAGTGTTAATTCTTCGCTTCTCAGGTAGGCAGAGACATTGTGACTTAGATGTAACCACTCCCTACAACCTACGACATCAAGCTTAGTCGACACTACAGACATATTTCTTTGTGGAAAACGGGGAAGAGGGGGGGGGGGGGGGTTAGAGGCAATTGTGTCTATTCGTGTTTTCCCCGCATCAGACCCAGCAACTGGCAAGCGGAGTTAATTCAATTGAAAGTATTGTCTTTTTGATTTAAAGTATGCCTACCCCCAGCCCTGGGCCACCTAACACAGAAACAGTAAAAAGTAAAGGACCCTTTTCCACGCCTTTAGGCGTATAGGGCATATAGGGCTAGACATATATTTTATAGCCAATCGGCACAAGATGGGGTGATGTGGTCAGCATCAGGCCGGCCGCCTCTACTTCCCGGGACTGCACCCAGTACCCACTCAAGGCTGGTCGACCTGCGAGTCAAGGTTATTTTTGACAAAAGTCCAGCTCTTCCAGAGAGCGAACCCACGACCTTCCGATCCGCGTTTTCCTGTACATGAAATGAATCTGTCTGCTTAAAAAGTCCGATGATTAGGAAATGCGACCGATTTTAGTATGGCCAAGACAAAATTGCCATTTATGAAGCAAAGCATGGAATCTAAAGAGGCAACATTCGTCTATGATCTGGCAAATTTTCATCGCCACTTGATAAGCAGAAAACAAACAGCCGCCTTTTTGTTGACATAGTCAGAGGTGTATTGTTACGTAATCAGCACGTAGCAAAAACCTAATGGTAATTTTTTTTAAACTAAAAATGCGCCATTGAAACAGTTGAATTGATGCAACAAGTTTATGGGATAACTGTTTATCTCGTGCACAGATTTTCAGTAAGTATTCACGATTCAAACGTGGTGTGGAAATGATTACTAATGCACCTAGACCTGGACGCCAAATTGCTGCTCATAATGATAAACTCGTTGCGAAAGTCAGAGAACTAATACACGAAGATAACTGTTTTACTAGGAGGATGATTTCATATAAATCCGGTATTTATAGACCATTCATAACATTTTAGTTCAAGATTTTTGCAAGAAAAATGCTGTTCTTCGGTCTGTACCATTCGTTGTCTGATGGCCAAAAACATCAGCGGGTTGAGTACCTAAGAGACTTCATGAAAACACGAAATTTTGGCCCAAAAACAGATGTGTGTTTTTAGCCTTCCATCCTATTCCCCAGACGTGTCTTCTTGTGATTATTTTCTATTCCGAAAATTAGAGTTACGATTGAAAGGACGCTTCTTCAACTATTTAGATAACATCCAAGGTGCCGAAACATGGACTTCAGGGGCAATAACAACCGAAGAACTACTGAGGTCGTTCCAGTGTTTGTTAGATCGTGCCACTTGCTGTATCTGTGCAAAAGGGGCTTAATTTGAATCCGATACAGGTTATACCTTCAACTATTGATTATTTAAATTTTGATGAAATTAGTATCATTACTTAATTGTCGGACCTTGTATATTCAGTGACCTCTTGTTCACTTTTGTAGCTGCTAAGTTTCTTTCCACCAGATATTGTATACCACTGAGAGTTTGTTTCCACGAGACATTTTCTACTGCTGTTGAAAATGTATTTCCATCAGACATTGTGTCAGGCACAACTCCTACCCTCCAAACAACAACAAAACATGTCGTTTGGGTGTCTCTGGTATGAGTATGAGTAATGTGTGTGCGATATGTGTGTAGGTGTGTGTGGTGCGGTGTCTGTATGTGTGGGTGTTTTTTGTATGTGTCGTGTGTTTGTATTTGGTATGTGGGTGGGTGTGTTAGAGTGTGTGTGGTGTTTGTGTTGTGGGATGTGTGTTTAGTGTATGTGTGTGGTATGGTGTGTGTGGTGTTGGCGCGTGTGTGTGCTGTGTCTGTGCGGTGTGTATGTGTGTGGTGCTTGCGTGAGGAGTGTGTATGTTATGTGTACAGTGTGTGCGGGTGGGGACGGTGGGGTCTCTGTGTGGATGGTGTACGTGTGTGTGGGTGTGTGTGTGTGTGTGTTGGTGTATTTGTGCGTGTGATTATGAGTGTAGTGGGCGTATATTGTCTGTGTGGGTGTGTGTATGGATATGCACGGCGTGTGTGTTTGTTGTGTGTTTGAGTAGTGTGTTTGGCGTGTTCTGTGCGTGTGTGGTATGTGCGTGGTGCGTTACTGTTTGTGTGTGTGTGCTGTGTATGCTGTGTGTATGTAATATGCATGTGGTTTGTGCGAAGCTGTTGTGAAATAACAGGTGAGTGTTTGGTTAATAACTATGCCTCCAAGGCTGTACATAATAAATACGCGTAAAGGACTGTTAGATAAATGAAGAGGTATTTAGTAAACAGCTTTCTTTGTCCAGTTGCCTGTCAGCTGCAGTCCAGCTTACACATGGTGTGATGATAATAACCAAAAAAGAGAAGAAATTAGTATTTTTGGGGGTGTCATGTCAACTTGAAGAAGCTATCAAAGCAGATGGAGAAACGGGAGCAAAATGAGTCAGGCAAATTTTCCAGACTGTCTATCTTAAAAAAAAAATAAAAAAACGAAAGCACCAGATCACTGGCACACAGCAAAAATTATACCGATAACTGCTTTCTATAAGATACATCACAATTTCTGCAAAAAAAGAAGTAAGCGAAGAAGAGGATGATATCTCAGAATTTTGTTGTTTGCACATGAGCAAGTATTAATATCAAAAACAGAAGAGAGCTTACGGAACCAGATAGACAAAGTCAATACCTAGTGTGAGAAATATAACATGAGGATAAACATTGATAAGACATTTCAGTTAAAGCAAATAGCACAGAAATAACACAAAGTCAATACCTAGTGTGAGAAATATAACATGAGGATAAACATTGATAAGACATTTCAGTTAAAGCAAATAGCACAGAAATAACACAAAGTCAATACCTAGTGTGAGAAATATAACATGAGGATAAACATTGATAAGACATTTCAGTTAAAGCAAATAGCACAGAAATAACACAAACGAGTTAGTTTAAACATCTAGGGTAATTTTTCAGCTCGGGTACAAGAATGGATAGTGGAATCAACATTCGACGTGCGGAATACAAATCTGTAATGGGACAATTATCACCGCTTCTGACATATAGAAAGATACCGCTGCTAACCGAAGCAAATCGCATGAGAACGGTTGTTTAGTCGATATTGTGCTACCAGTGCCAATCGTGAACCCTTACAACAGAGATAATTTGTCTTAGGAGAGCTGCCGGAGTGACAGGGACGGATAAAATCAAGAAAGAAAAAATTAGAAAAAGACTAGGACTGAAACAAATTATACAATTTATCCACCCCCCCCCCCCCCCCCCCCCCCAAAAAAATGATATGATTTGGCCACTTGACGAAAATGCCCTAATACCAATTGCCACAGAGAGCCAGGCTGAAGAAATATAATGAACAAACAACAAGGGGAAGACCACGCAAGATATGGAGCGACATCACCAGGAGCAACCTAACAGAAATAAACAGCATCAAGTGCAATGAATTTGACAAAGTGCACAAACGATCCTTACATCTGCCGCCTACACTTTAATGAGGTGAACTGTGGAAGAAGAAGAAAAAATAAGAGGAATAAGAAGACGAATAATAATAATAATAATAATAATAATAATAATAATAATAAGAAGAAGAAGAAGAAGAAGAAGAAGAAGAAGAAGAAGAAGAAGAAGAAGAAGAAGAAGAAGAAGAAGAAGAAGAAGAAGAAGAAGAAGAAGAAGAAGAAGAAGAAGAAGAAGAAGAAGAAAAAGAAGAAGAAGAAAAAGAAAAAGAAGACGAGGAAGAAGAAGAAGAAAAAGAAGACGAGGAAGAAGAAGAAGAAAAAGAAGACGAGGAAGAAGAAGAAGAAAAAGAAGACGAGGAAGAAGAAGAAGAAAAAGAAGAAAAAGAAGACGAGGAAGAAGAAGAAGAAAAAGAAGACGAGGAAGAAGAAGAAGAAATAAAAGACGAGGAAGAAGAAGAAGAAAAAGAAGACGTGGAAGAAGAAGAAGAAAAAGAAGACGAGGAAGAAGAAGAAGAAAAAGAAGACGAGGAAGAAGAAGAAGAAGAAGAAAAAGAAGAAGAAGAAGAAAAAGTAGAAAAAGTAGATTTTGATGATAATGATGATAATGATGAAGTTAATGATGATGACAAAGCGCGGAACCTCTTCCGCTCCATTCAGCACCAATAATTTTGGCGTGCCCCACAAAACATGTGACGTCACCCACATCTGATTCATGGCATACCTTGAGGCCGGACAACGGCAAAGGTGCTCCTACTGATTTCTGTTCAGTTGCCCAGTCATTCCACTTTATATATGTAAACCACACACAGTGTTCTTTCTACGGCTTGTCGGAGGCTTTCGATAGTCTTCGTTTTTCAAGTCCGGCCCTAAAGATATCTTCTTATCCAGTATGGCCGTTTAATAAGGTAACCGCTGTTTCGAAACTGTAGTATCGGGGCAGCAGTGTTTCACGTTTCCGCAATTATAAAGTTTAGCGTGAAAATATGACTTCTCCATTACGACCGCCGCCAACACCAGGCCCCGACAATCAGCCTAAATTTATATATAGCCCTGGAAATGATTTATACGAAGCTCCTGCACATCAGCCTTTAATACCGCAACGCACCACTTCTTTGAAGCCGCGAACGCGTCACTCTGAAGTGCAGGCTGCCTCAAGTGAAGCTGTGACTCCAAAAGCAGCTGCAGACAAAAAACCTCGTACCCTTGTCCCGGCACCGCCACGAGTCCCTAAACCTCCTGTGCTGCGTGATAAACCACATCATCAAGAGGAGCAGCAGCCTCCCAAACCACTGCCACGGCGAAAGCTCCCTCCGTCAGCAGAAGGCGAGCACATATATGTAAACGCTCCGTCCCATGATCCACAATTACAATCCCGAATGCCCACATTTCCGAGACCATCGGAGACTCATGCGTTTCAGAAATTACCAACCAACCCTGACTACAACACCTATGAAAGCGTTTATAAATTGGATTCAACCTTCGACTCAGTTGATCATTTCCTGGACGCAACCGTCGATACTTCTTCAGCTAGTCAATTTGAGCAGCCTATGTCAGAAGTGTCAAAAAGTTCAGCTGCATCAGTTGAAACACACAAAGGTACACACGGAGTATACCAAATACAAATAGATCCAAGTGTCGGTTCTGAATCGACTGTAACCTTCGACCCGTACGTCGGCTCCAATCATGTGTACTCCTTGAATGAATACAACATTGATACAATCGCCTTTAGTGATAATCCTGCTATGGTGTTCTTTTACGATCCAACGGATCCTAATACCGTTGTAACCAGGGATCAATTCAAGAAGGTAAGATTGATATTAAGCACGCTTTCAACTGGATATTGGCTCCTGCTTGATTATTTTTGTTGTTGTTAATGGGGTCATTTCTTTTTGCGGATTCTTTTTTTTATTTAATTATTCATACAGCAGATAGATTTGTTAACTGTACCAGGAGATAGATTTGTTAACTGTACCATCAGAAAGATTTGACAACTGTACTAGCAGATAGATTTGACAACTGTACTAGCAGATAGATTTGACAACTGTACCATCAGATAGATTTGACAACTCTACTAGCAGATAGATTTGACAACTGTACTAGCAGATAGATTTGACAACTGTACTAGCAGATAGATTTGGCAACTGTACGAGCAGATAGATTTGTTAACTGTACCATCAGAAAGATTTGACAACTGTACCAGCAGATAGATTTGTTAACTGTACCATCAGAAAGATTTGACAACTGTACTAGCAGATAGTGTTGACAACTGTACCAGTAGATAGATTTTCCAAATGTACCAACAGATAGATTTGACAACTGTACCAGTAGATAGATTTGACAACTGTACCAGTATGTAGATTTGAACTATTGTACCAGCAGAATAACATGACACATGTAAAATGAGATAGATTTGACACCTCTAACAGAAAATCAATTTAAACATTATACTAATAAGTAGACAACCATACTAATATAATAGATTAGGCAGATGTAAAAACAGTCTGGAAAGATCTACCTGCAGATATGCTAGACAGTTGTACCCGCAAATAGATTACATAAACTATACCTGCAGATATGCTAGACAGTTGTACCCGCAAATAGATTACATAAACTATACCTGCAGATATGCTAGACAGTTGTACCCGCAAATAGATTACATAAACTATACCAGCATATATGCTAGACAGTTGTACCAGCAAATAGATTACATAAACTATACCAGCATATATGCTAGACAGTTATACTAGCAAATAGATTACATAAACTATACCAGCATATATGCTAGACAGTTATGCTAGCAAATAGATTACATAAACTATTCCAGCATATATGCTAGACAGTTATACTAGCAAATAGATTACATAAAATATACCAGCATATATGCTAGACATTTATACTAGCAAATAGATTACATAAACTATACCAGCAGAAATACTTTACACTTGGATCAGCAAACAAATTAGATAATTTCTACCAGCAGCAATTTAGACAGTTATCCCAGCAAATAGACTACATAATTTGACTAGCAGAAATACTAGACTTTTGCACCAAATGAGTAAGATCTTTATCGTAACAAATTGCTGTGTCACTGAAGATCAATTAAATGCGCAACGAGTCTAAAATGGGTGTCACAAAATAAAATGGGGAGTGTTGTTAACTTCAAGAGTCTGTTCTCACCTGCTAGTCAGTTTTTACCTACTGGTCAGCTCTTACCTACTGGTCAGCTCTTACCTACTGGTTAGTTCTTACCTACTGGTCAATTCTTACCTACTGGTCAGTTCTTACCTACTGGTCAATTCTTACTTACTGGTCAATTCTCACCTACTGGTCAGTTCTTACCTATTGGTTAGTTCTTACCTACTAGTCAGTTCTTACCTACTAGTCAGTTCTTACCTACTGGTCAGTTCTTACCTACTGGCAAATTCTCACCTACTGGTCAGTTCTTACCTATTGGTTAGTTCTTACCTACTAGACAGTTCCTACGGCACACAAAGTTTGACGATGATTATACGTTTTAAGTAGTTTATTTTGAGCGCGTGTATATGATTGTGCGTCTGAATGTGCGTTTGAAATTTTGCTTGCTTTATAAATACCCATATGTCACTGTGCTTTTATCTAGGCGGCTGATTCAAAGACAACCTACAACCACAACTATGGAGCAGTGAACTGCTTGGAAGATCCGGAATTCTGTGATAAATGGCAGATCAACCAAATCCCCATGATCAAAGTGTTTAACGAGGGCAGGGTTGTCAGCACCGTTCGGGAGATGAAGACCTTCGACAGCAAGGCCATGACAAAGTTTTTGGACACCTTGGTGACCATCAATCAGTCTACCGCCAGTAAATCAAATGAGCGCTCTACAACGTCTACCAAATCAAAATGCTCTATAGCTAAGATGTTTGGCTTTAAGAAGTGACGGCCGGGCACACGATTTCCTTACAACTCTAGGGAATGTTTTTATCGCAGACTGCTTGAGTTGAAATGGCACAAGAATAGGACGCAGGTGTACACTGATCAGCTCTGGGGCACACTCTGTCCTTGAAATGAAGCCTAACCTTCGACATCAAACACTAACCAATTGACCTAACCTAAACTAACTTATTATTATCTTTAGCACAGAGCACCTATCATTACCTTCAACACAGAGCAGCTATCATTATTTTCAACATAGAGCCCCTATCATTATCCAATTTTAACACAGAGCACCTATCATTATCTTCAACATAGAGCACCTATTATTAACTTCAACAGAGAGCACCTATCATTATCTTCCTCATAGAGCACCTATTAGTATTTATCTTCAACACGGAGCACCTATCAGTATCTTCAGCACAGAGCACCTATTAGTATCTATCTGCAACACAGAGCACCTATCAGTATCTTCAACACAGAGCATCTATTAGTATCTATCTTCAACACAGAGCACCTTTCAGTATCTTCAACACAGAGCACCTATCAGTATCTTCAACACAGAGTACCTATCAGTATCTTCAACACAGAGCACCTATTAGTATCTTCAACACAGAGCACCTATCATTATCTTCAACACAGAGCACCTGGCCTTGTCTTGATCTAAACAGTGAGCATCTGAATCATGCTTGAACCTAGTATAGAGCACATGATCTTATCTTAATCGTACACCAGAAACATGTGTCATGATCTCAGTCTCAAATATGGCTAACCTGCCAATATATTTTGAAAACCGTTTGCATAATTGTAGATTCAACTAAATACAAGGCAGAGTTGAAACGATGTATGTGTGCGGTGGTTAGCCTTGTTAGTTTGTCCTTATTACGTTAGAGTGAATTATTTCGTTTATAATTTATATTCTTTTATTATTGATCAGACAAGTCGCTCAAGTTTAGTTCTTTGTCTTTATTCGCTGGACGCATGTGAGTTCGGGTCCACGATGTCACCTGCCTGGTAACACATCGCATGTGTGTATCACTGCACGACATCCGCTGCCTGGTAACACATCGCATGTGTGTATCGGTGCATGACATGGCTGCCTGGTAACACATAGCATGTGTGTATCACTGCACGACATCGCATGTGTGTATCGGTACACGACATCCGCTACCTGGTAACACATCGCATGTGTGTATATCGGTGCATGACATGGCTGCCTGGTAACACATCGCAAATGTGTATCGGTGCACGACATGGCTGCCTGGTAAAACATCGCAAATGTGTATCGGAGCACCACATGGCTGCCTGGTAACACATCGCATGTGTGTTTCGGTGCACGACATGGCTGCCTGGTAACACATCGCATGTGTGTTTCGGTGCACGACATGGCTGCCTGGTAACACATCGCATGTGTGTATCGGTGCACGACATGGCTGCCTGGTAACACATCGCATGTGTGTATCGGTGCACGACATGGCTGCCTGGTAAAACATCGCAAATGTGTATCGCAGCACCACATGGCTGCCTGGTAACACATCGCATGTTTGTCTCAGTGCACGATATGGCTGCCTAGTAACGTTCGAAAGAAAAAATGCAGCTGGCTAGAAAGAAGAAAATCGTCAATGGGTCAGGCCGAGGATGTTAGACAGTGTGACATTTGAGCAGTACAAAACCACTGAACTCAGCTAATTATCATTTAAACCACACAAGAGAGGCAGCTTTCTATAGGACAAGCAACCCTTGTGGTTGTACTGTGATGTAATGTCTATGAGAAGGCGTCAGCCACACAGGCTCTCGTCTGTGCAGCACGTTGGTAGAGCATGAACTATAATGTCTTTACAATAGTTTCACGAAACAATAGTAGAAAAATAACTTATTTTAAAGGGTCACCATGGAGACTTTGTGTAAATGATTGCACATTTAATAAATTGATATCGGAAGTGTCGGTCCTCCAGCCTGGAGACAATGTTATATGTTGTTCCTCCAGCCTGGAGACAGTGTTATATGTCGTTCCTCCAGCCTGGAGACAGTCTGATGTGTCGTTCCACCAGCCTGGAGACAGTCTGATGTTGTTCCTCCAGCCTGGAGACAGTCTGATGTCGTTCCTCCAGCCTGGAGACAGTCTGATGTGTTGTTCGTCCAGCCTGGAGACAGTCTGATGGGTCGTTCCTCCAGCCTGGAGACAGTCTGATGTGTCGTTCCTCCAGCCTAGAGACCCTGATGTGTCGTTCCTCCAGCCTAGGAGACAGTCTGATGTGTCGTTCCCTCCAGCTCGAGACAGTCTGATGTGTCGTTCCTCCTCCAGCCTGGAGACAGTCTGATGTGTCGTTCCTCCAGCCTGGAGACAGTGTGATGTGTCGTTCCTCCAGCCTGGAGGACAGTCTTTATGTCGTTCCTCCAGCCTGGAGACAGTCTGACAGTTGTTCCTCCAAACAATGGAGACAGTCTGATGTTGTTTCCTCCAGCCTGGAGACAGTCTGATGTCGTTCCTCCAGCCTAGAGACAGTCTGATGAGTTGTTTCCTCCCAGCCTGGAGACAGTCTGATGTGTGTTCCTCCAGCCTGGAGACAGTCTGATGTGTCGTTCCTCCAGCCTGGAGACAGTCTGATGTGTCGTTCCTCCAGCCTGGAGACATTCTGATGTGTCGTTCCTTCAGCCTGGAGACAGTCTGATGTTGTTCCTCCAGCCTGGAGACAGTCTGAAGTTGTTCCTCCAGCCTGGAGACAGTCTGATGTGTCGTTCCTCAAGCATGGAGACAGTCTGATGTGTCGTTCCTCAAGCCTGGAGACAGTCTGATGTGTCGTTCCTCCAGCCTGGAGACAGTGTGATGTGTCGTTCCTTCAGCCTGGAGACAGTCTGATGTCGTTCCTCCAGCCTGGAGACAGGCTGATGTTGTTCCTCCAGCCTGGAGACAGTCTGATGTTGTTCCTATAGCCTGGAGACAGTCTGAAGTTGTTCCTCCAGCCTGGAGACAGTCTGATGTGTCGTTCCTCCAGCCTGAAGTCAGTCTGATGTGTCGTTCCTCCAGCCTGGAGACAGTCTGATGTGTCGTTCCTCCAGCAGTCTGGTCGTTAGACAGTCTGATGTGTCTTCCACCAGCCCTGGAGATGTGTCGTTCCTCCAGCCTGGAGACAGTCTGATGTGTCGTTCCTCCAGCCTGGAGACAGTCTGATGTTGTTCCTCCAGCCTGGAGACAGTCTGATGTGTCGTTCCTCCAGCCTGGAGACAGTCTGATGTCGTTCCTCCAGCCTGGAGACAGTCTGATGTGTCGTTCCTCCAGCCTGGAGACAGTCTGATGTTGTTCCTCCAGCAGTGGAGACAGTCTGATGACAGTCGTTCCTCCAGCCTGGAGACAGTCTGATGTGTCGTTGACAGTCTGATGTTGTTCAGCCTGGAGACAGTCTGATGTCGTTCCTCCAGCAGCCCAGGGAGACAGTCTGATGTTGTTCCTCCAGCCTGGAGACAGTCTGATGTCGATGTGTCGTTCCTCCAGCCTGGAGACAGTCTGATGTGTGTCCTCCAGCCTGGAGACAGTCATATGTCGCCTCCAGCCTGGAGACAGTCTGATGTCGTTCCTCCAGCCTGGAGACAGTCTGATGTGTCGTTCCTCCAGCCTGGAGACAGTCTGATGTGTCGTTCCTGCAGCCTGGAGACAGCCTGGAGACAGTCTGATGTGCCTGGAGACAGTCTGATGTTGTTCCTCCAGCCTGGAGACAGTCTGATGTCGTTCCTCCAGCCTGGAGACAGTCTGATGTTGTTCCTCCAGCCTGGAGACAGTCTGATGTTGTTCCTCCAGCCTGGAGACAGTCTGATGTTCGTTCCTCCAGCCTGGAGACAGTCTGATGTGTCGTTCCTCCAGCCTGGAGACAGTCTGATGTGTCGTTCCTCCAGCCTGGAGACAGTCTGATGTGTCGTTCCTCCAGCCTGGAGACAGTCTGATGTCGTTCCTCCAGCCTGGAGACAGTCTGATGTGTCGTTCCACCAGCCTGGAGACAGTCTGATGTTGTTCGTGGAGACAGTCTGATGTTGTTCCTCCTCCAGCCTGGAGACAGTCGTGATGTGTCGTTCCTCCAGCCTGGAGACAGTCTGATGTTGTTCCTACAGCCTGGAGACAGTCTGATGTGTCGTTCCTCTGGAGACAGCCTGGAGACCTGTCTGATGTCGTTCCTCCAGCCTGGAGACAGTCTGATGTGTCGTTCCACCAGCCTGGAGACAGTCTGATGTCGTTCCTCCAGCCTGGAGACAGTGTTATATGTCGTTCCTCCAGCCTGGAGACAGTCTGATGTTGTTCCTCCAGCCTGGAGACAGTCTGATGTGTCGTTCCTCCAGCCTGGAGACAGTCTGATGTTGTTCCTCCAGCCTGGAGACAGTCTGAAGTTGTTCCTCCAGCCTGGAGACAGTCTGATGTTGTTCCTCCAGCCTGGAGACAGTCTGATGTCGTTCCTCCAGCCTAGAGACAGTCTGAAGTTGTTCCTCCAGCCTGGAGACAGTCTGATGTTGTTCCTCCAGCCTGGAGACAGTCTGATGTGTCGTTCCTCCAGCCTGGAGACAGTCTGATGTGTCGTTCCTCCAGCCTGGAGACAGTCTGATGTCGTTCCTCCAGCCTGGAGACAGTCTGATGTGTCGTTCCACCAGCCTGGAGACAGTCTGATGTCGTTCCTCCAGCCTGGAGACAGTGTTATGTGTCGTTCCTCCAGCCTGGAGACAGTCTGATGTTGTTCCTCCAGCCTGGAGACAGTCTGCCTGGAAGTCTGTGTCGTTCCTCCAGCCTGGAGACAGTCTGATGTCGTTCCTCCAGCCTGGAGACAGTCTGATGTTCGTTCCTCCAGCAGCAGTCTGGAGTTCCTCCAGTCTGATGTTGTTCCTCCAGCCTAGAGACAGTCTGAAGTCTGTTGTCCTCCAGCCTGGAGACAGTCTGAAGTTGAGCCTGGAGACAGTCTGTTCCCTCAAGCCTGGAGACAGTCTGATGTGTCGTTCCTCCAGCCTGGACAGACAGTCAGTGATGTG